CGTATTAAGCTACTATAAATTTCATCTGGAAGTGTGATCATGTTTATAAGTACTGGCCTTTGTATCGATCTGTGTCATCTCAGTAGTGGGGTTTGAGGTGAGATTAGTTAAAATCTGCTGCAATGATTTAAATGGGATTTAGGCATCTGAACATCTCTGCAAATCTGGATCTTAATATGTACCATTGAATTGAATGGTACTGAATTGTACCATTTTCTGTCTTTAACTGGGAATGCCTTCTGCATCTGTTTGTGCGTTTTAATCTTAAGAGTTTTTAGTTTCCTCACTTCAGGGTTTTGACTGGCTACTTCACAAAATCCTGTATTACTTACATATGTGTTGAGAATGGCTGCTCCTTTCTTTCACAAAAAACTTAACACTATTGTGTGGTTCACTCACAGGCTCTAAAGAGAACAGTCATGCTTTTGGCTTTTGTACCTTTTCCAGAGAACACCAACATTTTCCTGGCTCCAGAGTTTCTTTAAACCCTGAGTTAGTGGATTTCTCTAGCCCTGATCTTAATCTTCTTAAGGATACCAGGAAGATAACCCTACATATACGGGAATTGGGTTATATCTTAGAATTGGTATCCAGATAGATTCTGCTGCTTTGGTTCCACTCAATCTGCTTTCTTCCACTCAATCTCATTTCCCATGTAATCTTTAGTATAATACTACTAAGCCTCTTCTGTTTACCTCCTGTATGTCAGTGTATAGTTTATAAACAAGAAATACTTAAATGCTTCTTGGTCATAATTTTTTTTTCACTAGTTTCTTAACCTGCAAAGGACATTGTTGAGGACTTGAAGAGCTTTTCATCTAAACTAGACAAGCGGGGACATTAAAGATGATTCACTGTGTGTAGGTCACTATAGTTACCAAGTTCTTTAAAAGTTAGGATTTAGAGAATGCTTAGGTTTAAGAGGAGGTGTTAAAAACCCATATAGAAAAACAAGCTATGGAAATAATTTGGCATTCCTAGTTTTACCATATAATGACATGGGTGGAATGGGGAAGGAAAAGGCTAAGGGAGAACTCCATGAGTGTTCAGGAGTTATGCTATGCTAATAAAAGCTGTGTGCACTGAGCAGTTTACTTCCAGAGCAATTTGGAGAGCTTCTCCACAAGTGACAGATTCCTACTCTTTCAGTGAAGGAGAGGCTGCAGAAGCATGCCAAAGGGCTACGCTCTGAATAACCATGGGGTGAGTAACCAGCTTGCTTAGCCACCCTGCATATGAGAAGCAGCTGAAGCAGAACCAGTGCATCTGCCTGCATAACATAATGTAGGGAGACGCACCATTTTTTGGCACAAGCCAAACCTGCAAGAAATAAAGCGGAAGCAGTACACCGACCTGTATAATGTAATGCAGTCATACAGGCTGCCTGTGTGGCAGCTGTTTCTCAACGGGGCTCCATGTGCTTCCTAAAAACCAAGGCGCATAGGGCAATTTCACTCTGCAGCAGTGACATCATGACATCCCTGGCAGGTTCTCATAGTTGTCTCATCCCTATTGAGAACCACTGTTCTAATCCATATGGCTATTAGATTAAGTCAGTGACTGCTTCCTTTCAGTAAGCAAGAGCTGATGATACAGCTGTGTTGAGATGTTCAGAGAGGTCCTGTTTAAAGGTGCGGGGGGCAGGAAGAGAAGGGAAGTTTAAGTCCTGAAATATCAGACTTTGTTTTATATCGGACATTGTTTAATATCGGACTTTGTGGCCTTGATCCTCACTTGACCACAGTGATAGAATTGCACAGTCAGCATATGTTTATCTTTACTTTCTTCAGAAATCTGAGTCTCATCTTATCATTTTTTTTTAATAGCAAACAGGGGTGGAGATTCTTTTCAAATGATTCTAGTCAACTGTGTTTAGAAATGCTTTAGAAACAGGTTTTAAGTGAACATAGTTCTGGGAAACATCTTTGGAAAGCCCATATTAGGGACTTAAACTTTGATACTTATTGACAAAAATCACAATCAAATGACTTTTCTTTCTTATTCCTATCCTGTTGTAATAATCCCTATGGAGGACACCTAATACTCTTTTCATATAATGCCTGAGACTGAAGGACATGCTGTTTTCTGATCTTTGCTCAAAACATTTGTTTGTGATTATGTCTTCAGGAATTGAGTGCTGAATCTGTGCCTCATTGTTGCTTAACAGGATTCTTTTTTGGGAAAGGTA